GTGATTGGTCCTGTAGCGTGTCGCTAACCTGTGATTGGTCCTGTAGCGTGTCAGTTACCTGTGATTGGTCCTGTAGCGTGTCGCTAACCTGTGATTGGTCCTGTAGCGTGTCGCTAACCTGTGATTGGTCCAGTAGCGTGTCAGTTACCTGTGATTGGTCCTCAGGCGGAGAGGCGGTACCAGAGCCGCCTGCAGGACCTCCAGGACCGCCTGGAGCAGTCGGACAGCACCAACCGCAGCCTGCAGAACTACATCCAGTTCCTCAAAGCGTCCTACGCCAACGTGTTCAGTGATGGGCTCCTCAGCCGGCCCCGGCGCTCCCCGTCACCTGTCTGAAACACTCCTCATCACCACGGCAACGGATACTGGAAACCAAACCAATCATCACCACATCCATATTAGAAACATAAAGTATGAATTATTTTAAGCTGTTTGAATGGTTTTTCTGCTTTCAGTGGTTTAACTGGTCGATCCAGTCAGTCTCTGGAACGGCTCCACAAGGCTGCCCCCTGGTGTCTGTTAGTGTCATGCAGCTGCTGCTGGTTTCCCCTCAGCATGAGGCAGTAGCTCCTGATGGACACCAGGAGAAGCTCCGCCCCTTTCACTGTTACGGGAATCAAACCTTCAACTCCAGTCACAGGTGCTGGTTCTGATCCAGATGTGCATCATTCCTCGTCCTGAGGAGTAAAACTAAATGTCTCCAGCTTCAGCTCTGTATTCTACTAACATGTCTGATTAAATGCTGAACTGCATTAATATCTAATGGAGCTGAAACATCTGGGTCATCGTTACCTGCCAGGTGACTCGCTGCTCTGCACCAGCAGAACCAACAGTTACTGTATTTATTATGATTCCTGAAGTAAACTCACATCAAACGTGTTTGTTGTGGTTTGGTTTGAATTTTCAGCTTTCTGAACAGGTCAGATGTTTGCATTCGCTCCGGGTCAGATGATCTGCTGCCGCCGGGTCTCATGGTCGTCAGCTGATGGATAACGCTCCTAATGTTGCTTAGCAACCAGGAAATACAATTCACAATGGATGTTCAGAGTGAGACGGACAGAGCGGGGTTCGAACCGGCAACCCGTCTGTTAATGCCCCAAAAGTATAAACAAAACAAACTGAAATGTGAATCCTGAAATATACAACCATGCTGTAACAAAGAAGACTCTACATAATTATATAATAGAGGCTCAGATCTACCACACCAGACAAGCCCCAAGGTGTAGGTTGTGCAAGGAGGCCTCTGAGACAGTCCAGCACATAACAGCAGGGTGCAAGATGCTGGCAGGGAAAGCGTACATGGAACGACATAACCAAGTGGCGGGCATAGTGTACAGGAACATCTGTGCAGAATATGGACTGGAAGCCCCGAGGTCAAAGTGGGGGACACCCCCAAAGGTGGTGGAGAATGACCGAGCTAAGATCCTGTGGGACTTCCAGATCCAGACAGACAAGATGGTAATGGCGAACCAACCGGACATTGTGGTGGTGGATAAAGAACAAAGGAAAACCGTTGTGGTGGATGTAGCAATACCAAG